ATCAAATTTCTAAAGCTGCAGTAGATGACAACCCGCCGACTATAATTTGGTCGTTCCGTTGTATGTATTGTCGGAGCTGAGGAAAGAATCACACAACCACCTAGAACGCTGCAGCATCCGAGTGCGAGAATGGAAAGAATAAATTTGGAAACTTACTATGGCAGTGAGCTGATAGCTGGGCGAGGAAGCTGATGGCCAACGCGCACGTGTTCGCCACTAGTCGTGCTTGGGACAGATTCTGCGAGCGTATTGCTAGGGTCCAGCCGAAAGCTGATGAAATTGCGAATCAGACAGCATGCTTGCTGCCAAGGTTTGACCGGAAGCTGATGAAATCGCCCGTCAGTCATCACGTGCGTTGCTATGCCCCGGGTAGGCGGACTGGCGTGCCCGAGCAAGACGGTGAACTGGCCAGACAAAACGGACAATCAAGTGTGGAGCATGGGCGTGCAGCCAAATCCGCCAGGCGGTGCTTAGAGCATTGGTGAGACTGACATATAAATATGAGCATCCTCGATTCTGCTACAACTCCGGTCGGCTGAGTCTTCTTCTGTCTTCCTTCCTATCGGGTTTGCCAAAGCGTCAAGCAGAGCAGCCGTATGCGCGCAGATTTACAAGCAGGCGTGAATCAACCGGTCGATTGCGGGTACAGCGTTATAACACGAACACTTTCCGCATGCATCAGGTTTTACCACTAACATTTCCAATCATCAGCGAACATCTTGCTGACGTTGGCGTGGCGCACTCTTGTTGCATGCCTTTTCAAGCGTTATTTCTGTACTCATTTTTGGCACATATCCAGCTGCATCATCCAAGCGTTCTCCTTAGCACCTCGGTCTGGTCAGTTCTTGACTCATCACAGCCATGATCGCGTATTGTCCAGATACTACTGACTTATGGTGCAATAGTACGTACCCGGGGCTCACCAACTGATACCAGCGAAACACGGTTTTGTTTGACACAGAGAGACCGCCACCAACTTACTGATTGCAAGCGGTACTTTGGCACAAGTGGCTGAAAGAGGGTCAGAAATTGACGTCGTACAACTCGGTTGGAAAGCTACGTAGTCGGAGATTCTGTTTTCACGAATGGATGGAGAATTTCCTGCACCATCGGTACCTGTAGGTTATAGTTAAAAGTGCTACGTTCAATCCGATTCACATCGAGTGAGGATTTTAACAAGTAGTAGTGCTTGGGCAACCCCAGTTCATCAAAGCGCTTCCGAGTCTGATCGGATCGGATTTGTTAAATTTTGCCAATGATATTAAGTTAGTTCGAAGACTCGCCAATCAAGAAACGATTCATTTCAACGAGATCTGAGATGCACGCGTGGGGATCATTGCGGAATCTGTTGCGGTTTCATTCGTCCAAATGTAAGGCAGTTCATACTCATCAGTATTTGAGCAACTTATCTGACCTTGAAGACGTCTTACCTACGGTCACTCGGCAGCTAGATTTTGGTGGTATTGTTTCATACTGAGCTCGGTTGCTTAAACCAATCGGAGAAAGCGTCAAGCACCAGAAACCAACTCGATGGTATTCTGCGGGAATAATTTGAGTTCTTCGATTCATCTGTATGTCCGCAAAAGTTTAACAGTTAGGTGCGACCCTATGTGAAATTCGCTATCCAGAGTTGGAAACACTGGCACAATCAATTTCTCGCATCTCTCTAGACTCCAGAGAGTTGAGCATTGAAACAAGTCGAAGGATTGTTCCATTTTCCACATAAACTTTGGCCATGGACTCTAAGATGGTACAGCGGACACTATCAATGACTGAGGGGGCATCTAATAAAGTACTTCAGGTTCTGAGGGCGTCCAACAACGACTACCGCCAACTCTAGTGACTGAGTCACAGCATGGACTCGAGAAGGCCCCACCTTAAGTTGGCCACACAGTATTACCGGCTAGAACGTCACCGAATCGTTCACTATTTTCGTGTGCCAAACTTGGAAACCCTATCGAAATACATTGCTTTTGTCCCACTCCCATGATTAAAAACGCCCTAAAGCAGCTCTAATCCGCCAACATGACGAAAGCTAGCCGGCGTATATTGGAAGAGGACATGACAGACCATACACTAACGATCATTCCGCTACTCGTCGTAGTTGGACGGAGTCAGTTGACGCTGGAGAATACATTGATGTGATCTACCTGGATTTTTCGAAGGCTTTAATCGTTAAAATCATCGGGTACTACTCTCCGAGCGCCAAAGTTACGGGATCGGCGACCCTTTTTAAGCTGAATTGCCAACTTTCTACTTCAACGGTAATTAGTGGTCAGAGTTCTGAGTTCTTTAGCAGACCCGATACAAGTTGAGTTTGGTGTACCGCAGATCTCAGTACTAGGTCCACGTTTGCTTTGGTGTTAATACTGACCAGGCACAGAGAATCACTTGAAACTTCCTTATGTTTGCAGACGGTGTCAAGATTTGGCGCAGGATATAGGTGAACGCCGACCATTACCTGCTTTAGACTGACTTAGATACGATGTATCAATGATGAAGCTAACATTTACTGGAATTCAACATGAGTAAATGCAAGGTAATTTCCATCCGACATCAGAGCAGCTACTCATGCCGGCTCGGAACGAATGTACTGCAAAAATCAACCTTGGAACGTGACTTGGATGTCCTAGTTCCTGATGACTTGGGTCGCTCCAGGCAGTCCGAAAAAACCTCGAAGACTGGATATAACACGTTGGGCTGTTGTGAAGTGTGTTTGGACAAATAGACAGCTCCATATTTCGACAAATGCTCAGTGTGTATTGGAAGGGCAATTTGAAGTGCACGTTGTGTGGATGGATTGCGACGCGCAATCTCAAAGTGGACCGCGATTTCCATTGAACTGAATCTTGGCCATTCGATCACTAGGACCGTAGCTGATGAAGCAGCAGCGAATTGGGTGTTGCCCGCCTGAAACCACTGCACTCCATGACGCGTTTCGAGGTTGTTTCCTCTCATCAGATAGAGATAGCAGGCATCGAGCCCGGGACCATTGGGATGTTAGTTGTGACCGCCACCCCTAAGCCACCGGGCCACGACGGGCAAAGCTTGGCACAACGGTTAATGGCAGATTGGAAAGGCAATTTGAAGTACACGTTGTGTGGATGGATTGCGACGCGCAATCTCAAAGTGGACCGCGATTCCCATTGAAGTGAATCTTGGCCATTCGATCACTAGGACCGTAGCTGATGAAGCAGCAGCGAATTGGGTGTTGCCCGCCTGAAACCACTGCACTCCATGACGCGTTTCGAGGTTGTTTCCTGTCATCAGATAGAGATAGCAGGCATCGAGCCCGGGACCATTGGGATGTTAGTTGTGACCGCCACCCCTTAGCCACCGGGCCAATCTGCCATTAACCGTTGTGCCAAGCTTTGCCCGTCGTGGCCCGGTGGCTTAGGGGTGGCGGTCACAACTAACATCCCAATGGTCCCGGGCTCGATGCCTGCTATCTCTATCTGATGAGAGGAAACAACCTCGAAACGCGTCATGGAGTGCAGTGGTTTCAGGCGGGCAACACCCAATTCTCAGTGTGTATGTTCGCCAACCAGTGGATTACGCACTTCATGCATGCCCTCCATGACTGAAACACGATCTTAATGCACTGAAGCAGCCACAACGCCGGGCATCTAAGAAGGTAATTGGAATGCACAAGCTTTCATACTAGGAGAGACTGCATCGATCGGGTTATTCAGTGGAGTCTATCGCAGACCACGAGGCGACCTGATTATGGCATACTTGATTCTGCGAGGCCCACATCCTGTATGCCGCCATTTACTGCGACTCATCAACAATACAAACCTGAGGGGCCACTCTTTGAGACACGCTGTACAGTATAGCCGTCTGGAGTGCCGCAGAAATTTCTTTTCCATTCGTGTCTGTCACTCGGGAATGCTCTCTTAGGATCGGTCGTCTCTGCAATGACAAGAACAGTATTTAAAAGACAGTTGGATGAGGCAGTCATCAAATTAGACTTTGTCACTTAGCGCTAATTCTCCATCGTACACCTGGAGGTTGCCATGGATTTATTTGTTGTTAACTGTGGGTGCTGTGAATCCAAGCGGCTTGCAGGACTACAGCGGAGCAAACGATAAGTCCTTATTTTCATAGTTAAAGTACCAACTTTTGCGATGAATATTATTATTATCGTTAATAGTATGATTATTTCGATATCCCCACCAACTATCCAACGGGACTCGTAAAACAACGCTTCTTAGCCCATTTAAATGCAGATTTCACTGTTCATTGATCGAGGCAAGCTCCTTTGCTTGTGTCTCAGTGTAAACACCAAAATGAACCCACAGAATAGTTTCTGTTTCATCTCTAGGTTTCATTTTCCACTTTGTACTTCTCACCCTGGCAATCCCACGGGACCTGTTAAGCAACTGATTCCCTCCATCTTACACCATTTTCCCAGTGGTTATGGTAAAGGGGTTCTTCCGTATTTTGTTTCGCCGTTTTACAAGACAGAATGAACTGCGGTGCACGTTGATGTAATACTTTGCATTTGAGTCCACGCTCATCCAGAAATAGCGGTGACCTGGGTTCTTACTGATCAAACAGATAGGTTGACCTCTTTCAAGCAGTTGAAATACACGGAAGAAATTACTTCACATTAGTCTGCATAGTTGGTGCAAGCGAACTAAAGGACAAAACAATCCATGTGTGTTACCTAGCAAAATATTCGATAAACCAACAAGGAGGTTGTAGCTATCATGCAGTGCGCCTAATTGACATGTCACTGTATGAGTTTAATCCATAGATCGTCTGGTTGAGTAGCCTGACGGACTATCATTAATGGTGTGAAATACTCGTAGATGGTGTCACATACTAAGCCAGCTATGTGGGACATTTCGATTAGTTACCTTTTGTATGAACAACGAAACAATTAGAAGGCGAGTGAGTCGCTGGCTGTTCGGCCACTAGTGGATTTGCTTAAAAACCTTAGACTACAATGACTGTAACTTCAGTCAATTTAAGGTATCACGTGACCTAGAATTTACCCCGTGACCTAAGGAACTCAGCAGCTCCTGAGTTAATGCGCTCTTCTCTGCTCCTTCACGATGACTTGCAGGCTCCCTTTGCGCATGCCCAATCGGATCCTTCTTTGCGTCGTCCTTGTAAGATTTGTTCGGGAACATATGCGTGCGCAGTGAGGCGGAGTAGAGAACCCTCTCATCTGCATAACCCATCGGCGATTGTTCTAATCGTAGCATCTCCAGTATCGAGTTCAGGAGCGGTTTCTTCACAACTTCGTCCACCATACACTGGTTTGACAAAGATGGATTAGCATTTACCTCCAGTAACCAAGGTCGTAGATGACTGTCCACTAGGATGTCAAATCCTAAGAGCTCGTAAGCATTTGGGACCTGCAAAAATGTGCATGATATACAGCAAGCGTCAATTCAAGTTGCGAGGTTATCGTTTCATTACACGGTCTGGAACAAGTAAATCTGCAAGTTTTTGTACCTATAAACCCATAGATTGGACATTACTCTCTATGATGCATAAGAAGATGAAATCTAGATACTTGACAAGTCTCCTAGGATGGTTGATGTGAAAACAACAACACCAAATATTAATACTGGATATTACCGTGTATAAGCGTCACGGCTCTCTGGTTGAGGTCCAAAAGATGGTGAACACGTCTGGCTGGATACACTTGCTGACACGGCAAGGAGCTGACCTCAGTGGCGTTCGTGTTGTGAGTTTCTTTGTCCCTCCCCACCCCTCTTAGCCTCCCCCTCCACCTACGATCTCATTTCTAAGCGTAAAACATAATAATTTTTCTTGTTGCCTAGTAGCCGGCTGGTAGCTTACCGGAACGATGCCTATCCGTTGCTGGTAGCTCAGCTGGCATGCAACTGTTGTATATATTTTCTTTTGCCTTTATGTATGGCGGCACAGTAGCTGAGGTGTTTTCCACCTCTAGCTGACGTGTATTTAAAAAAACTTCATCAAAGCGGAAAGAAGACGTAGATTGCGGTATGTCAATATTTCGATTGTTCACCTCAGCCTCACATACAATAGAAACAGAAATACATACACCAAATATAACGTCAAAATCAGGACCAAGGCAATATAATTGATTGCCACATGTTTCTGTGCACATAGCACAGATTGATAGGCCCTAATTAACAAGGCTTCTCTGATTGCCAACACTATCGGATTCCGGTTGCCCAATAGCAATTTGAACGCGGTCTTCGGGCCCGCATTGTGACCAGTTGTTACGAGATGCTTGGTGATAGATGAGGATGGAATCCAGCTCATTCTGGGGGCGTTCCGGTTTTTTTTGTCATCATTTGTTCCACCCAGTTTGGCAAGTGTTCAGCCACCTTCTGAGCCAACCGACGGTCAGTCCTGCTTATATAAACGTCACTGCAACTGCAGCTGAGCTGATAAACCATATGAGAGGCCGAACTAGCCGAAGAGTAGCTCTGACGGTCATGAAGAACCAGTTTCCGCGTAGTGTGCACGAGGCGCAACTGGGCAGCCGTGTACGTGCATGTTACGGAGGAGCTGAGCTTGTGTCTGCTGTCATTTGCCACATGGTCACTCGTGATGGGCAGAAAAAGATAAACTGATTTTTGCTCTAGCGTTATCATCAGCAGTTTCTTTTTGGGGAGGCTGCTATGTACTTGTTTGATTGGTATGCCACTTTTATCCCATGTGGATATTTGTGTATGGGTTTCTGTTTGCATTGTGTATGCGACTGAAGAGAACCATCGAAATGTTGGCATATCGTAATCTGTCTTCTATCTGCTTTTCTGGAACATTGTGAGCGCCCTGATCCTAATGTTCGTCCGGGTAACAATTAACCCGGTGTGCCGTGACCCCATAACCCACTGCGTTAAGATTTCCTCCAGTGCAGGAAACATGGTTGTAATACTGTGTGCTGCTTTATTGCCTACAGGTATTAGTGACAATTCTGACTTTTCATTTATTCATTCTCTCACTTGGTTTCAATCACCGTGAAATGGGGTGCAGCCAAATAAATATTAGCTTACAGAGGAGGAGTAAAGGGAGTTGAATGGTATAGGTAGAAATTCGTCACATCTAGACACACGTAGACAGCTGTCACATGCCCGGAAAAGCACTGTACGCGCTTTTCATCATTTCGGGAATCGTCAGCAGTGCGCATTCCATGGGACCATGGTAGGGCTTGAACCCATAACTCGTCTGTTGCCAGTCCGTGGTTAAGACCATCAAGCTACGGGGGACCGCAACGACCATGTTAAATAAGTGAGTAGATGTGATATAGCGCAGCTCACTATCCACTGACTTACAAGTTGCTGCCGTGTAGAGGACAGGGTAGCCCCCTGATAGTGCGCGGCGCTATATCACATCTAGTAACTTATTTACGATGGTCGTTGCCGTCCCCCGTAACTCAGTGGTCTCAACCACGGACTGGCAACAGTCGAGTTGCGGGTTCAAGCTCTACCAGGGTCCGATGGAATGCGCACTGCTGACGATTCCCGAAATGACGAAAAGCGCGTACAGTGCTTTTCCGGGCGTGTGACGGCTGTCTAAGTGTGTTTAGATGTGACGAATTTCTACCTATACAATTATTAGGCTACTCGGAAAGCGCCATCACTTACAATTTAAAGCCAGCAGTAAATTCATATCGCTTTTGTCTAGACATTTTTTCACGTTTCCACGACTATGGAAGATCTTACGAAATGTTGGCACATTTCTTCTCAGCTGAATCGTGTGACGTCGGGTTAGCTCTATTTTGGTTAGCTATACAAAGCGTTTAGACATTATGCTATGCTGGTCAATCTGTTATATTACAAGTACCACGTTGTCCCACACCACTGATCGTGAATTTTCCTCTAACCCGCTGCACCACTGCGATTCAGATGCAAAAGGCCCTGACTACACGAGACGGTGTCTGATATACCCTTTCACCTTACCCCTATTGTCGGCTCCCATACCTGTTTTGTGTGACTTGCCATCTAATAAATACACTGTCCAGTGCGGTTAAAATCTTTGTCCTGACAGCTCTAAGCCTCATTAAGTACGAACACACTAGGTCGCCAGAACTGACCATTAGTAGAGCAGCATTCACCTGAGCACACTCAAGTGACAGCAGGTAGTGATGAAGTCAAAATCGTGCGAAATAATTTCGTTTCTCTTTTTGCTGATTATTTGGGGTCGGCTACTTTACGGACTTACGAGTTTGGACAAATTTGACATTGCAAAATCATACTATCGGCTTATATACGGATCAGCTTATACACGGTAGTATATGGTATGTCAGTAGATTAGCTGTTAACCGATTTAGCTGCACCGTTGTGTGAGGGTAGTAGCAAATGAGAACTGATTGACATATTCTGTGAGAGAAAAAAATGATCCACGGCCCATGCGACACCTAAAGATATTATTGGGATATTAAAAAGATACATCACAACATATTAATTTGCAAGGGTTACTGGTTCTAAAATTCGGTTAACAAGCTTCATTCTAAACACATGCAAAAAGTACTATAGCCGCATTTTAAGCAGATGAAGTTGGATAAACATCGATATCTTAACTTCACTTATTGCGTCGCTAGATCGATGCGTTCGGGTGAATGGCGAATGAGCTGGAGTAGCTTACCCACGTATCTGCTAAGTCACCCGTGTATAGTACCATAGTATTTTGCACTGTCTATTCCAAGCCATGATGCTTAGGCGAACTGGTAGCGATAGAACGTGAATAAGAAATCAACATATCAGTTGGCCTTCATACTTAAATATATTTGCTGAACAAGTATTTTGTTGCTTATATGCATGAAACCCCATTAGCTGGAAGCGGAGCTAGAGGGTCACGTATGTTAAACAAAGAAATCACTACATGTGGAGCCCCGTCAATGTACATACGTTAAGTTGCAATGAATTTTTCCTTGTAGGTAGAGAAAAAGCGCGCCGATACCTTGTTAAGATTTCAAGCTCGGTAAAGGCGGTTTTCGCAACAGTCTATTGAAATAAATCAAAATGTTTACGCTTCAGTATACCTGGTGACTTCCTCATGTCTTAAGTGGGATGACCAACTCACAAAACATAAATCATCCGCTGACTACAATAACAGCAGCAGCAGCAGCAGCAGCAGCAGCAGCAGCAGCAGCAGCAGCAGCAGCAGCAGCAGCAGCAGCAGCAGCAGCAGCAGCAGCAGCAGCAGCAGCAGCAAAGTGGCGCTCAGTCCAGCGGGATTTACCTCATCTGCTCAGGCGATCCACTGTCACCGACACGTTACTGGCTGGCGCTTGACATACCAATGGAGTATGAGTACCCAACTAGGGGTCATTTGCATATCGATTGTCATCGCCTGAAAAATGCACTAAGGTTTTAGCAAACAAGCTTCTAAGTGGAATAAGGGACCAGCCCTGAAAGTTCTAATTTTCAGCAAGTAGATTCACTTTTAAGCACAATAACTTGCTAAATAAATGATCAGTAGGTCTCCGGTACGCAATACGGAGGCTTTATTGCCGCGCAACCACCACCAGTCGCGTGTGGGCTAATGAGAAAACGAGGGTGCTCCGTTCCCCTACGCGCGTTCGAACCCGCGCCCTTAGAGTACCAGGCAGGCTTGTGTCCCTTTAGACCACGGACCGGCTTTGTCAATCTGAGTAGGGTTAAATTCAGATTCAGTCAGAAAACAGCGAAATGTGTGTTCATAAAAAGTGATCAGAATAATTTTTACCACGCTACAAATGCATTTCGGCTGCGACTGCACTTCTCTCCCATCCTCGCATATTAGGTAACAAACAAAGATACTGTTGCAGAATGTTTGGGTATCCGTGGTTGGGTTTAACAGCATTGGTATAAACGAACTCTTCGGAACCCATGTGCACAACCAACAGGGCTAATCTTCGAGGTAACCTACTGTTCATTGTAGTTGTTTCCAAATAACGATTTCGAATGGACAGGCGTCGCGCGACCTTTGGCATAATGGGCCTATAACAACTCGTTTGAGCACCGATTTGTACGAATATACGTTGTAGGTTTCTGGTCCACAGGTAAATAAGAACTGCCGGCCAGCCCAAATGTACATGAAGTTAGTTAGAGTTTTCCAAGGAAACCGCACTGTAGTACATAAGGCCATTAGCCCATTGGCTTTGCATGCAACATATATTATCAATGATGCATTCGATGTTGATAACGATGACGAGGTGGAGAAGGTGGATGATGAATTTGTATTTGAATATCGGGTTCTGAGAAAGCGTGCAGTGGGTTACCTGATGTCAGTTACGCTGTACTACTCTTTGGCCTTTGATTGATTGGGGTCGGCAATATAGTTCAGGAAGATGAGAAGTTCGCGTGTAACTTTCAACTTGCATGCCAGAAGTAACAGTGGATAGCCCTCAGCTTGTAGTAGCCAGTTTAACGTAAACAGCCCTAGGATATACCTATAAAATACTTTTAGAGTGTAGGCTACAACAATATGGTTGCAATAGGTTACCTAAAAGAGTGGACTATATAACGCCACACTGTAAAGCCGATATTTTGAAGAAACAAAACCTCATAATCGTAGGGTTTCAACACCCCACACTGTTTCAGCCTTGGAACAGAGATCTTTTGTTGTAGCTGTCAGTTACTTATAAGAAAGCGTCCATAACTAACTTTTGGTGTTTCGGAGGCCTGACTGAGCAACGTGAGTATGATAAGAGCTTGAATTCTTATCCACAGAAAACGATCGTTGATGTTTCTGTCTGCCATCCACTGGCGGAATTGCCCAATGGTCCATTTGCATCCAAGTCCGATGCCGGTCTGGGGAATGAAGGAGAGAAAATTGTAGGTATATACCCCAACTTAGATGAAATCGATGCTGAGAAGGATGGCGGTTCCGAGAATGACATTGTTTGCTCTCTAAAGCTGAGATGTGAAAAAGGAAGCAAAGCGGAAACCTCTACCTTCATGTGCTAGATACCATTTCACCTAATGATTTAGGTGGAAAGAATTAGATTCGTAAAAGTACAAAGCTACGAAACACTGCCTTCACAATGACCAGTTAAGTTGTAATAGTCTCAGTCCAGTGGCGTGCAGACGATTACGAATTCTTACGCGTTACTCCCTACACACAGCATTTTTGCAATACTTCCTGAAAACGTCGCAGTCGCCTTTTCTTCGTCACCGATCGCAGTACGAGAGTACGCTATCTCGTTGACACCGGCGCAGAAGTCAGTCTTATCCCACCTGATTCCAATGATGTTATTAAAGAGGCGACTAGTTCATTGCGCGCTACAAACGACACCACCATTCGTGTGTATGGTCAACGGTCGCGCACCCTTACTTTAAACCTACGACGTTCTTTTAAGCGGATCTTTCTCGTCGCAGATTTCCAGACGCCAATTCTTGCCCCTGACGTTCTGCAGCACTGGTATCCATCGAGCAGCGGCGTGCCCCAAGGCACTGTACTGGAGTCGACATTGTTTCTGATCCATGTAAACGATGTGCCTAAGCTGCTCCAATCACCAGGTGCTTTGTTCGCAGATGACTTGAAGGTGTGGAGAGTAATCCGCACACTCAATGATTGTGATTTACTTCAGCATGATCTCGACACCCTCTCAACATGGTCTGCAGAGGTTAACCTTCCGATCAACCCTGCTAAGTCGCAATTCATGAGGTTGGGTAAGTGTGAACACAGCCGAACGTACACAGTGGCTGGTCAACCGCTGCATCCCGCGTCTTTCGTGCGCGATCTCGGTGTGCTCTCACGCTGCGACCTAAAGTCCATTGATAACACGAATAGGCTGTACCAAAACAGCCTTCGGATGCTTTGGGCGCTCAGGCGCAGCTTCAGCACTTGGTCCGAGGAGATTGCCATTCGCCTCTTCGTCTCGATAATACGACTAATGCTAAAGTACGGCTCTCCCGCATATTGTCCCAACACGCTGGGCGAGGTAGAGAAGCTTGAGCGGGTGCAGCATGTAGCCACTAGGCTGATTCCTAACTTACCAGGTATGCCATATGAAGACCGATGTAAGAAACTAGGGCTGTACACCCTAGCATATCGTCGGCTGAGGGTTGACCTAATCATGACGCACCGGATATTACATCTGAGTGATTACCCCATCTTGAGACAACTGCTTCATCTGCGCACACCAAGGAGCACGCGAGGACACGGGTACAAACTTATCGTACCGCAGTTGAAGCGGGTAGCTCACCAACTCTGTTTTGAACGTAGAGTGGTGAATGCCTGGAACAATCTGCCGCAGCCGGTAATAGAGGCGAATTCAGTGGCCGAATTTAAGAAGCTACTAGACAAACATTTCGCAGAGGCAAAATATAAAGAGCGGAACGCTTATTAATAGGTTGATGTCCAAGATCGACAATTGATGCAGCTAAACAGAGTATGCTCTTCTCGCTGCTTCTAATCAGTATCAGTATCAGTTGACGCGAAGCGAAGCCGGCTGATCGATCATCAAACAAATCTGGCAGTTATGGGTACTTTGACTGACATTGAGACAGTAAATCCTGTATACGCCAACCACTCGATCTCACCTATCGGTCAGATGCTTAATACCAAGTTCCCGTAAGTTTTGCGTTCAATGGCACATTTGCCATCCGCCACTGATGCTGTAAAACATCACCTAATTACCAAAACCAGGTGAATGATCCCTGACAAGCTAAAAATTGCTCGCGCAGAATTCGAGCACATGTTTGAACTAGGCATTGTACGCCCGTCTAACAGCTCGTGGAGGTCGCCTCTCCACATGTTGCCCAAAAAGTCAGGAGACTGGCGTCCCTGTGGTGCTTACCGTGCGCTCAATAACGTTTACTGTTCCCGACTGCCATCCTATTTTCTCACATTCAGGATATCACGGCAAAACCTGCTCGGCACCCGTGTGTCCCGAAAAATCAATCTGGTTCGCGCGTATCACCAGATTTCAGTCGCAGAGAAGACATACCGAAGACTGCCATATTTCACGCCGTTTGGGCTC